TTAAAGTGTTTGCCGTTGGATTTTTTGTTTGGCTGGTTGTGTGTACACAGTGTATACAAGTTGAGTTGTACAGAAGCCCAAGAAAGAGCGAGGAAAGAGAAAAGGGCGGTGGGGAGGTCAGGGGAAGGGAGGTCAGAGAGCGCGGAGGGGACAGGAGACTGATAAAAAATAGAGCCACATCCAGACAACAGTGGGACCGGGGACAGTGGGGGGTGGGGGGGCAGACACAGACAAATCGCTGTAGAAAAGGAGTGGGGTGGGGCAGAGGGAGGGGACCAGCATCCCCTCCACCTCCCCGGCCCGCCCCACCCCAGCCCCAAAGTATGTACAATAAATAAGATTAAAAATAATTAACAAGATGCGTTTTGTTTTGTTTTTTATCCCCCCCTTCCCACTTCCACCCGACACCGAATGCCTTGGGGAGCGCTGGCCTTTAGTAAAGATGGTGGCCTGTTAGGGGGCTGCTGGGGGGGAGAGGGGGTCCCCCAGCTCTCGGAAGCTGCCCCTCCCTCCTCAACCATACATAGACTTTTCCTATACATTATGTACAAGGTGGAGGGGAGGGGTATGGCCGTGGAGGGGGGGACTGGGCCAGGTGGGGAGGGCAACCGTTACTAAATAGACATTTATACATATATATAAATAATTTCTCTGTACAACGAACAGTGGGGGCAGGAAAGGAGTGGAAAGGACTAGGGATGGTGGGGAGTCGACCTCTGAACCCTGCCCTTGGTGGGGTGGGCCAGCATGGACACACCCTGACCAATGACACCCCCCCCTTCCCTGGCGACGGGGCGCGGGGCTGCCTCCTGAGGACACAGTTGTGGTGTCGCAGTCCTCGTGCGAGGCCGGGAGGCGGCCAGCAGGGGCAGGGGTCACCCGCAGCGGTGGCCAGCAGGGGTCACCCGCAGCGACTGTGGGCCTGTGCTTGGGCCAGCAGGTCACTGAAGGAGTCGAAGAGCTGCTCGAGCCACGGCTGGTTCCGCATACACTGCTGCACCACCTCCTCCTGGCCCAGGTCCTCGGCGCCGCCCTCGATGGCCAGGGTCTGTGGAAGGGGGGGACACAGGAGCGCTGGGGGTGGGGCACCCTCCTGGGGCTGAGAGAGGCATGGTCACCTAGGTCAGGGCCTCCTGGTTCTAGGACAGGAGAGGTACAGGGTCCTGGACTCTTGGGTCTAAGGGGTGAGGGGCTGGGGACCTCAGTTTCTTGGGCTCAGGAGGGGCAGGGCTGGGGGGCTTGGAGCCCCAGGGCCTCCCCGAGGGGAACTCACCTGGTCCCGGCATCGAAGGAAGGTGTGGTACTTATAGTGGTGGAGCGAGTGGTAGAGCGTGTAGTAGCCTGACTTCTCCAGCTCGACCTTGAACTCCTGGGCACAGACAGGGTGGAGATGACTCAGTGTCCCGGCCCAGCCTGGGTGGCCTCCCCCGACCCCGTGCACCCACCCGGCCCTGGTGCCCACCTGCGCTCGGACCACACTCCTCTTGAGTTTGCTGAGTGTCTTGCGGTTATAAGGTTCCCCGGCCGGTCGCAGCCGCACGGCCCCGTCCTCGGGGGACCCCGCCCCACTCTGTTCCACTTGCAGCTGTGGAAACGTGTGTAGGGCATCCTGTGGGAAGTGGAGAGTCAGTGGGACGCCTGCCTCGACCTACCTCCCAGCACCGTGGACCCCTCATTATGGTGGCCTCAGTTTCCCCGGGCTGCAGACACACTCAGGAGGCCCGGTCCCCCATGGGCCCGACCTAGGACTAGTCTAGTCTAGTGACTCATTACAAATGAGATTTCCAGCCTGGACTAGCATCCGGAGACTTTTTAAAAAAATTCATCCCAGATTTCTCAGAAACAGCCCAAAATCCTATCCAGGTCTCTCAAAATAACAGCCCACAGAATTCCCAGAGCTGGCCTAAGAGTATATTCTAGAATTTTGAGAGTGTACTAGAACCTTCTACCGAGGAAACTGATATCACAAGATGCCCTCCCCGCAATCTCCGGCATCAGCGTGACATCACTCTCAGAATTCTCAGCCTCAGTCAAAGACACTTCTCAAACTATCAGTCACCTAATATTCTATTTGTAGACGTCTTGGTATCAACTCCACTTCTACCCCAATCTTAAAGGCCAGTCCAACACCTGATTCCAGAATTCTAACTAGATTAATAAGAATCTTGTTGCACTGCAATCCCAGAGGTGTGCGGTTCGAATCCCCCAGATGCTCTGCTGGAGAAGGAGGGGCAATCTCCTCCTGTACCAGTCAGATCCAATTTGATGGTACACACACACACACACACACACACACAAAAAAAAGACTTGTTGTTGATTGCTGTTGAGTCGAGCACGACTCATAGCGATCCTATAAACAAAAGGCCTGAAGCCTTTCTATAACTATCATCATTATCAAAGTTCATAGAGTTTCCAGAGGCACGTTGTTTAGGAAGCAGATGCCACTCCTGCTTCCAAAATATCCTCTAGAATTTTCTTTCTCTCTTTCTTTTAGAATTTTCTAAATATTCTACCTAGAAATCTCAGAACTTGAGGAATATCCTCTTGGGATATTAAGAGCTAGTTCTGCTCAACTTGAGGGGACTTCACAACAATAACAACAGTCTAACTTATGTATTCCAGAATCCTCAGGGTCTCTCAAAAATGCCCAAACTCTCAAAATCAGAACATTCCAATCCAGAACTCTCAAAGCCACTTAAAAAAACCCCACCAAATCTATCCCAGAATTCCAAGAGTTGAGAGTATTATGTTAAGGAGCTCTGGTGGCCTAGAGGCAAGAAGCTGCACTGCAATTCCAGAGGTACGCAGTTCAAATCTACCAGATGCTCTGCTGGAGAAGGAGGGACAATCTCCTCCTGTACCAGTCAGATCTGATTTGACAGTATACACATGTTGTTGTTGTTGTTATGTGCCGTCGAGTTGCTTGCGACTCATACTGACCCTATGTACAACAGCCCTAAACTCTGCTCTGTCCTGTGCCAATCGCACTGTCTCCGACACTCCCATCCTGATTACCCCAGTCACTGAATCAATCCA